TAATTTTGCTGATTTTTCAACGTTAAATATTAAAATTAGGAGCTATTTGAAAACACAGTTTTGATATAAATGAACTTTTCTTGATAATATAAAATTGAGAATATATTCAAAAACAATCGCATTAACAATAATTGTTTTCCAGTGAAAATATACTTTATCATTATTTAATGAATTTAAATATACACAATTTCGATGAGGGAAAAACCAATTTGTTATTTTTAATAGGTGAAAATATATTCTGCTGTAGAAATCGATTAAACTAGATACAAATAAAAATTTAGTTCAACACTCGTGTTTAACAGGAACATTTATAGAGATACGAAATAGTAAATCAAAATTAAAACTTAAAAATATATTTTATAAATAAAAAAAATATTTAATAAAAATAAAAGATAATAATAACAAAGATAAATTATAAGCAAGGAAAAAGATTAATATATATACATATTAATTGTTTTCCTTGCATATCATTAAAAGGTCACGAATGTTATAATATTTACAGTACTATATATACCGAACATTAAGAATCTCGAAATGAGTTGCGAAAAACTTAGCGACACGAAGCGATTTACAGAAATAGTCTTTATATAACAATATAGAAGACTTTGTCGAGGAAAAAACAAGAAATATTACTATACAGTTTTAAAAATATTTTACATTAATTATGTATAAAGCAAAAAATTTCATAGATGTATATCTTAATATACAGGATATAAGTTAAATGTTAATATCTTGTTTATCTTCTTTGAGTTTTGATTAATATAAGTTTAACTATAGGCCTATAAGTTAATAACTTGTAAAATAAGATATGACATCTGCAAAAGAATAAATTTGAAGATAGTCAACCTTAAAAACAAATTTCGAAACATCTCTTATATCGATCATTGATATCCTGTAATTTCCCTCTTCGAAAAGAATCACTTTAATTACTTATTTAAAGCAATTAAAGCAAATAAATTTTCTTTTGTCGATTTTATAGTTTAAAAAATGAAAAGACTCCTCGAACAAACTTGTAGTCGGAACAAACCGGAAATGAGTTGCATACCAAAGACATTTCCGACGAATCGAAAACTGGTTGAGACGTGAAAAACTTGATCTATGATTACCGATAATTATAAAACGAGTTTTTGTATGTGTGTATGTGTTTAGATGTCTATTTATTTACCTTCATTCTAAAAACTGTCCATTCGTCCAATACTTTACGAAAATAGGATTAACATAAATTGCCAAGATAACAAAATAAATCACATTATTTATCCCTTATTTTATTCATTTCGGCATTGTAAGATTTCAATTATATTTTAAATAACTGTGACTGCAAATAAAAATCTGATTATTCCACAATCCGAAAATAAATGAATCTACGCATTTTTATCTGTAGATGTAATTTTAAAAACATTATCCTATAAGCAAAATTACATAACTATTGTATGTGATATTGCAAAATTGTTGTATCTTAAAAAATAAACAGTACAATTCTGCATGTCAACTTACTACTTTCCATTACAATAACTACTGGTAGTTTATTATCTGTTAGATTGCCAGAATATTTTTTTTTTTAGAAAAAGTTTTTTTCTAAATAAAATGTTGCTCTGAATAATATAACAAAGAATAATAACTATACATATAATTTAGTATTATTACGTAGTGTAGAATTACAAAACTTCTACACTAAGAATTTCTTTGATATTAAAACAAATTATTGGCACTCATTCATTAATTACAAATTTGAAAAAAGGTGTGAATAAAATGACCCTGATTATTTATATTTTGACTTTTATAAATGTTATTATGTCAATTGTAACCAAATAAATATTTATGAGATATTATATTATTGATTAATTGACGATAATAGTACTATATATGCCTAAGTTAATAGTGTAATTTTCGTTTGAGGTTTAAAGCATTGTATATATTTATAACGTGTGATAAATATATAGGCCTAACTGATTTCTGAAAGGGCTGGTTTTTCTTATTATTATTCACTATTGTAACCATGATAGTTCGTTTTTGGAAGGAAATGTTCTATTTTTATCTTCGTTCTTTTTTCACATCAAGAATTTCTGGCAAATCTACCCACGGTAGTTGAAAGTTCAATAACAGTAAAATAGTCTATAATCGAAGAAGAATATTAATTTTTTTTAAATTTTATTCATAGATTTGATCAAATTTCTAAATTTGTTTTAAAACAACTTTCAGATACATTGAATATTGAAAGATGAGATATAGTAATTTCGTTTATACAAAATTTTTATTCATTACAACTAGAGTCATCCAGAAGATAATGAGGGTCTGGAACAAAATACATATTCCGGGCCTCGTAGTAAATTAAATTACTATATTGAAGGAAGTAAATAAAAAATTATATAGAGACACCTACTTCCTCGGCTCGGGGCAATTTGCTCCTTTTGCTCCCCACTGGAGGTCCCTAATTATAACTAAACTTAATTTGATGCGAAAACTTCAACTTAGAAAGACTGCATTTGGATCAAAGCCATTGGATATAATTTGCACCTAAAATTACTTTTGTGTATAAATCTAATAGGAGTTATACACGTGTAGAGAATGTTTGATATATTTATCCATTAGATGATGATAAAAAAATAATCACTTCATAAAAAATTCCATATCAACTCATGAAAACATTTTTTTATCATCTACCAAAGACAGAATGATATACTTTGCACAGAATATTAAAAAAATCAGAAAATCCAAATATTTTTTTTCTATTCAAAAATAATTAATTAGTAAAATGTATTTTAAAAATAATCTTTTTTTGTTCAGCAAATTGAAGCAAGACCGAATTTTGAAGTTATCAATAAATAGAATAACTTCAAAATTCGGTCCTGGTTAACGCTTATCGCTTCCAAACTGAGATCAAGACACTAATTTCAGAAAAAACCTAAAATTGAAGATAGTTCGATCTTTGTTTTGCGGATATTGAGCATATTTTGTTATTTTCAATCTTTAACCTTTAATTACATTTAACAAATTATCCATTCAATAAGGATTATACACATATAATGTTTGATTTATTTATCCTCATTTAACTATTAGAAAATCAATAAATATCTATTAGGCTAAGTAGGCCTATTTATTTTAAGTTTTTGATTGATAAAGCAGACAAACAAACATCTCGAATAGGTCTATGATCTTTACCATTTGTTTCGATCACTTTATTAACTAATAGGCTAAATAACGTCCATGACAATTTTTTTCATCCTGTAGTGTCTTCGGAAACTGATTTTGCGTGCTCTACTAGATTTGAAAAATGGAAGATTGCGATAACAAAGTTTTTTCCTATATAAATATCTGTTTTCTAATATATTATTTGAAGTCGTCAAGGTTAAGAAACGTTAGTATATGGAATGTAATTAAATAATAATATAATTAAGTTACATAATTACGTATGATACCGACTGCAATTGAAAACGTTATCTCACTTGTCAGTTTAGCTATTTCAGATTATTTATTCACTACCTTAAGTTTATGACTTATTCTATAAAATCTTGATTTTATAGAATAAGTCATAATTATTTCGTGATATAAATTTCTTGGTAGTATTATTATACTGTATTCATGATGATTTTTTAAAATTTATTTTAATAAATTATGTAATAATAATGTAATATTGATATAAATGACTTATACAAANTGCTAAATATGTACTAGAGTAAAGAACTGTTCTTGCATAATACAGAATAAAGTTTTTTAAATAAAAATTCATATGTTAAGGAATTATAGAGAACCTAGGTGTTGAAAAATTTGAATAATTTAAATGAGGCATACAGAATAAACTATTATTTAGTTTGAATTTCACAAGACAAATTGTACTTATCAAACACTTTTTCATCTTTCAATACAATATTGTATTGATAGAGTTTCCCATGTGATTTTTATTAAAATGTAAGGTTTCTAAGTGAAAAACTAATATTGGATTTTGTGTTATTTTTCAAATTTCAATTTTTGTAGTTGTTCATTTTAAACTTCTATTTTGGATTTACAAAAAGAACAATTAATTTAAACAGACTCAACAGTCGTAACCGAGCAAATTAGTAGCCGTTACGTAGCAATCCGAATCAGCCGAATGACGAGGGATGTATGCATTGGAACAAAAAGCCTCACTGGTCAGTTTTGAGTAGCAATAGGTAGCATAAACAAAAGATGCTACCAAACATGATGTCAAAGCACCAAACACATTCCGAAAGAGCACTACCATACAGGACGTTCGGCAGAAAAATACTCAACAGCTCAGGAACTGTCAAGTCTGCCGAACGCAGCCAACGTAAACACAAATACATATAATAACGATACATATTATAGTAAAACAATATAAAAAATAATCACTTCATTCACTATCATTTCTTGTTTCTTTCTGTTTCAAGGAAACTTATACTAAAAAGATCAGAAATGTTTGATTGAAAAACTTCATAACAATTTCTGTAGAGTAATTATAAACAAATAATTACATATTCTTTCATAAGTATCAAATTTCCTTTTAATTAAGATATCATGTATCTTCATTTCTTAAAAAATGAAACAATTGATTGTAATTTACAATTAGAATAAACTTATAACTGAATAAATCTGGTGGTTTAATACTTTCAATAGAATTAAAAACGTGGAGAGTAACTTTAAGTGAAAAGATACATATTTTTCATTGGAGAAGAATTGCAATAAATTCCCGTGCTATAATAGGTTCCTTTGTGTACAGCTGCCTATTAAAAGTTCTTAAATCCTTCGGCGCCATTTCAAAATCATGTAAACTGACGAATACGAGTTATTTTGCAATACATTTTACACGTAAACCAATCCAAATATCGACTTTTATAAACCGAGATACATAAACTGTCACGAGTCAACACTTAAGCCTAATGTAACAACATACGATTTACACATTAACTGCATTATTAAATTTCCATACTTTCGCTGCTATTAAAGCATTTAAAATCAGCTCTATTATTTATACAAATCGTGCATTTAACGAAAAATAATCTTACCTTCCAACAATCTCGAAATAATGCTATCAACATTCAACTCACTCTCCGACATTTTTCCTCCGCTTGATGACGTCAAGATCCGTTCATGCCATCTAGCAACAAACCCGAACGTTCGGTCTGACTTGTTATTTTAAAGGAAATATCAAAAATATATAATCACTGCCGTACCTTCGTAGGCGGATACTTTTCAAACGTTCCGTTTATGTCACTTCCTTTAGTTTTTCATGGATAATATGTAAAGTATATAATTTTTACAATACCTCGACGGTAGAAAGCATTCGTCGTATGAAAATTTTGTATCCTCCTACATATAATAATAAAACTTTACGTTTATTCAGTCTAATGAAAAATTCAATTTATGCATTTTATTATATTTATTCCAAAATTTCTATCGTTCATAAAGTGATAAAGGTTTTAAGGGGGGTTGAGTTTTGTTGACGTCCGAAGAGGGGGGTTACGAAACTGGAAGGGAGAGTAAAAATTTCAAGATAAATGCGACAATTTATGGAAAGTCCCTGAATAACACGTGAAAAATGCAACAGTACAACGTGTGCACGAACTGTAAACATTTTTCTGTATACTTTGTATGCAAGTTGGCAGAACAATGTATGAAAATAGCAATTATTGCTAAATATTCAAATTTTCAGTAATGTGCTACGTATCTTAATATTTATCAAACGTTTGCAAATTTATTGTACAGTATTTAATATTTTGTATAGTTTAAAAACGTACGGTAATTTTGAGTATAAACTAGGTATTTTCTGAGAAAACAAAACAGCTCCATAGCATAAGTTTTACTGTTTCGGATTGATACGAAAACACAAATGTGGTGATGCTTCTAACGTTCTGTCTGTAGTTTAAAACTCGCAGATTCGAGGGAGGATGTATGCGTCCAACGTCATACTCGACGAAAACGTCAAGAAACGTTTAAACACCCACATGTGTGGCCAGCAGCTTACCAACCTCAGCAGCCGATTAAAACACACCCGTGTGCGTGTTTTCATAAATTGTTTTCGTCGTGACATCGTACGTGTTAAACTTCGATCAAAGACAAAACATGTTCTGACTTACGAAGAGCTCCGCTTAATAATTTAATGTCGACAATGAATTTAAAAGAAATATTTAATTATATGAATATATAACATGCCCGGTAAAAATAATTTTTGTTTATAAATTTTCTAAACTATTTTAATTTATACAAATTATTCTAGAATAAGAATAATCAATTTATTAACATTTGTTTAACCGCAAATGGATTTAAGAACTTTCAATAGGCGGGAAGGAATTATACACAAAAGAACCTGTTATAGCACGGGTATTATATTAAATGTCGTTTTAGATGAGCTACTCTGCTTGAATTAGTAATAATGAATGAGATTTTCAAAATTAACGATTCTTCTTGGTTGAACCTGATTCGTACATTCCTTTGTAAGAGAGTCGTTTAATCTTTACTTGTTTGCATCCCGTTGTACATAACATAGAAACAGTCGATGGCTGAGACTATAAAGACACCAACCTGCCAGTCTAGCAGATTTGGGTTTGAGTCCAGATTGTTCAGTGGCAAATTTCATGATAGTTGGCCCGGATATGTCGAAACTTCATCATCTAGTCCTCTTATCGTGGGCTCGAACCATAATAAGGTGATATGCTATCACGATGGTTATACAAAAGATCACCGTAGTGCCCGAAAAATTAGAATAGTTAAATATTAAAAAGTATATAATACAGTACACCTGTTTGTTTTGACGAGTCTGAATCGGAACCCAAGAAATTTTCTTGGATGGCTTGACAAGGATATACTGTATCATGTTTCGTTATCACCACCTAGCCGTTCTATTCGTATTCTAGGTATAGCCGAACCACGATAGACTTGTAAAAGACTTCTTAGTGCCTGCAAAGGCGGATTAAAAATTTTTCATATATTTGTTTAATTAAAGAATCCATCTCTAAAGAGCTTAATCATAATCAGTTCAATATCTTGTTCCTACAATGTAGTGTTACCACCCGTCCGGTTTTCACCCGGACAGTCCGGTAATTGACTTACTGTCCGGGTGAACTATTAATTTTGTCCCGGAATTTCAAAGTTCTTGCAAATACTTTTACAAATTTACACTACTTTAACAGCGAAAGAACTCTCATTCACTGAAACTCATCTGCAATTCTGCTATGTTTACGCCGACGTATGATGTACAACCCCTGTGTTGATCCTTTTTTTTTTTTGCTTGTACGAACCTACACATGTCAAATAGAGCTAAGTTATATGTACCCATTCTTTCTTAATTTACGTTACTTACGTTACTCATACCCAAGTCTCCCTAGTCCCTAACTGTAACTGATTTAGAACCGGCATGCATGTTATTCTTTGCATTGTAAAATGACATTGCGCATACGTCAGGTACTTCTGTTCGAACTGTGAAGATCGCGAATACCGTGGACAAAAAAACACAACTTTTACGATATGAGAGTCTTTAATTCGCGTACAAAATACAGGAATATAGATCGGATGCCAGCTACAAGCTCTATCCCTTAACTTATTACTTAATTTTAGTAACAAAAATTTAACGAATCAATTATATAACGCGACAATTCTTCCTTCGTTGAATGACTATTATACTTATAGCATGTACAATTATATCTTAAGACTAATTATTACTTACTAAAAACGAAAAATAGATCTAAGACAAGAGAGAAGTTGAAATGTAAAGATGAGAAGAAAGAAAAAGTCGGGTACCCAATAAATTCGGCGTTTTTCACAGTGAATTTTCATAAGTTGAGTGAGCCTCTCAATCCACGGGCAATGAAAATTACTTTCCAAAGGAATTTCGATTTCGCTTTACATTCTAGTACGAACGAAAACACCCTTCTCAGTTTTCGTTATCCTCGTTTCCTTTTCTTCTCGAAAAGTCCGTCTCGTCTCCACTCAGTTCCAAAAAAAAAAAAACTTCGAGAGCCTTTCTCACGTGTCCTTTCCTCTCTCGTACTACACCCAAGAATGACCTCATGGACCCCGTTATGCCCTGAGGGTCGCACACCTTGCTACCCTGAGGGTAGCAAGGTGTGCGACCTTGTTACAAAAGGTGTGCGACCTTGTTACAAAAGGTGTGCGACCTTGTTACAAAAGGTGTGCGACCTTGTCCCCTTGTTACTAAAGGGGTCACCTGCTGTTACGCCGTTAAACAAAAGTAGGGAGAAACTTCCAGAAAGAGAGACAGTAGAAATGAAGACAAAGGAAAATATATATGATATAAAAAATAAACTATAACTATACAATTATGGCACGTAGCCACAGAACAAACTTTACCTTCCGTCCGGGTCAGCGATTTTCAAAAGGTGGCAACACTACTACAATGTTAACAAAAATAAATTATTTTTTTGTTAACATTGTTACATTGTTAACATTAGCAGTGCTAGTCACTAAAATATAGGCTATTAATGTATTTATGGTCAGTCGCACTGCAAAATATTAGAACAAGGATATGGTTCAAAAGTTTGTATGTGCGGTATACTTGTAAGCTACAAATTCAGTTACTCCAACGTTCGAAACTGTCGTACTAAATATGAAGCATTTGAAATAAGTCGTTTTACTGAAAATAAGTCCCATTACTAGTTAGTAAAATATAATTTAGAAAATATATAATGCCATTATATACAGCAAACAATACAATTAAAAAGTAATTTGCGTAGTAGATTTCAAAAGAATATTTTATCCAAAAAATTAAGCTTTTGCATATTTGCTGATTTTAGGTGTTGAGTAAACAAATGTCGAAAATTCGAATAAAAACGATGGAATGAAGGTTTCTACTTTTGTCCAAAAGACAGGAAATATAAAACATTTCCTGTCTTTTGCATATTAAGAGAGTTTTCTTATGCCATCACTGATTTAACCAGGTGCATACATAATAGTCGGCCAAATAGTGAGTGACGAATTCCAATATATCTGTACTAGATCAGCCATAGAAATTTCTGAGGGATCTGAATTTAAGTGAAGATCTCTCAGAGGAATAGACACACACACTTTTTTAAAACTCTTTCTGTTTTGTGGGCCATATGAGAGCCTTTTTATCAAGCCCATTGTGATCGCCCGGATTCGATCACGGATCACCCAGTGAGATAGGCTGACACTTTAACCGTCTTGGCCATCCGACCGGCTTGAAAAAAAGGATGTGCCTCGGCAGTCGGAGGACCGAGATAGTTAAGGCGTCAGATTCTGGAATCTTTTCTTCTAGGCTTTTCCGTTTCGGTTTCAATTAGCCTATAGTAGTGCCAAAAGACACAAATATTAAAAATGAAAACATTTATACAGTCATTCAAAAGTTATTGATCATGAAATTTATAAAGAAAAAATATATATTTATTCTATGGAATGGAAGTTATTGTTTTATAGTTAGAAATCAATGTAAGTCTAATGGAGAAAATCTATATTTTCGAGATAATTCATCTGTGTTTGTTTACATAGAAACGTCTGAAATCTGAAATCTTACCAAAACTTGAAAATATAAATTTGTTAACAAGTAAAGGTCTTTTAAATAATTGTATAAAAATTGGCCTAATAAAAAGTGAAAATTCGTATAGAAAAGTAAAAAAAGTTATATAGACTCTAATGATGGGTAATAAATGTCCATTTTTTACTTTGTATTTAAGATATTTATATTACTTTTCTTAATAAACAGTATTATTATAATTTTTTAAAAAGTTTTATAGCATAGATAAAAAAATTTATCAATTAAATAGTATTTTAATTTTGTATTTCTTCATAATTATATATGAGGAATTTTTAAAATAATATTTCAGACTATCTTGATGTGATTTTAATAAAGAATTTATAAATTTTGTTACACAGATTGATTTTTTTAAATTTCGGGAATTAAAAACATAAAAACTAAATCCAAAGTAAATGAAATTATAATTTATACCATTTTTGTTTACAAGTTTAAAAAATATTGGAAAGCAGCTCGGACAGAGGACAGGATATCCAAACGGTTAAGGCTGCAGCCTATCGCAATTGTTCTAAATTATATTGTTTTTATGAAGTAACAGAGGGTGGAACGCTTAAAAATGAACATAAAATCGGGTAAACATTAATATGGAATCCTACCGTATATATTTACAAAGAAACTTTTTACTTTTCAGCCATACTCGAAAGAATTTGTTTCGTATCAAATTTTATCTCTATGCCTCTAACAATAGTCAGTCTGTATCAAAATTTACCGAATGCTCATCATTTAGCCTATTTATAATTTCTGCATTAACGAGATTTGTAAAATAATATCTTACAGTGTACGTA